TGGGCCGGGCTGGCCATTTAGAGGCCCGCCGGGATGGCGGGCCGGCCCGCCCCGCCCCGCCAAATGGCGGGTTTTGGCGGGCTGCGGGCCGGCCCGCCCCGCCAGCCCGTTTTGACAAGTCTACTTGGAGGTGTTATCCCTCACCAGTTCGACAACCTCTCAAGCTTGCGTGCACTTGATCTTGGTGGATTGCTATCTTTTCTAAGAGTCGATAATCTCACGTGGGCTGCTAATCTTTCATTGCTGAAGTCTTTGTTATGAGTCATGTCAACCTTAGCACCACAAAAGATCACCTTGCGACGGTACTCAATACGCTTCATTCCTTAGAAATGTTAAGCTTGTCACATAGTGGGCTTGATAACACATACCTACCTCATACTAGTTGCTTAAATTCCACGCTATCTATTAATATACAACACCAAGATTTGAGTCACAATCTCTTTGAAGGAGATATTCCGTGCTTTCTCCGTAACATGACTTCATTGCATTTTCTTGATCTTTCTTCCAACCAATACACCTCATTGGACCCTCATTTTCTTCTGTCGAGAAATCTTCAATATCTCAACCTTGGTGTTAACTCATCTAATTACAACACGCATTGGATCTCTGATTTGTTGTGGGATAAATGCCACTTGAAATCATTGAACCTAGTGTATAATTATTTTCATGGAGATATCTCGGTATTCTTTAAAAACTTATCGAGATGTTGGAGCCACACCTTGGAGAATCTAGAGTTGAGGTTTAATGAATTTTACGGGCAGTTGCCTGAAGAACATGGCGGCATGAAGCAGTTAAAAGAGTTAGAGTTGTCTGGTAACAAGTTATCTGGTCCAATCCCAATTATTATGGGACAACTTTCAGATTTGGAGCGGATTGGCATATCTGGTAATGCCTTCAGCAGCCTTTTGTTGAAGATAGCAACCAAATGCATGTGAAGGCATTTAATTATGGTTGTTGAAGGTGTGAAAGCCTTTAATTTAGGCTGCTGAACATGAGCAATTTATGTGCATTCATCAGCTATAAATAGAGGAACTAAGGTACAAAGAAAAACACACCAAACACAAAGAAAAACACAAGAGAAAGAGAAAAAAAAAAGGAGTGATCGGAGGCAATAAATTTTTAGCTTCTGTGTGTATTTGTGTTGTGGGTTGTGAGTGAGTTTGAGAGTGTTTTGTAAACACGAGTGTATTTTTATTCCTAATAAAATATCTGCAGTAGCCCGGAGACGTAGGCATTATTGGCCGAACTCCGCTATCAATTTGGCGTGTTCAATTTTTATTTTTATTTCACTTTTATAGATCCGACTTCATGGAAAATTCAGCATATTTTTCCCAACAACCATCACCCCACTCCAACACCCTAAAAGGATTCAATTTTTCATTTAGAAAAATGTCTAATAAAACAGAATTATTATTCTTTCCATGAATTCTTTTCCGACGGTTTAAATGTGTACTCACCAGAGAGCTACATTTAATCCCTAGGAAAATGCAAGTAAAACAATTATCCAAAAACATTCCACATGTAAAATAAAATCATCAATATGGATACAACTGACTTATCTCATGCAAGTGTTTTTTTCTTTATTTAGCAAACCATGTATATATAATTTTGATAAATATAAAAAATGATCAACACCTACAAATAGTCANAAAAAAAAAAAAAAAAAACAGTAGAATAGAGTAATGATGATGGCCCATCAAAGTCAGATATGTTGGGAAAATACGCTGAAATTTCTATGAAGTTGGATCTATAAAAGTGAAATAAAAATTGGACAAGCCAAATTGATAACGGAGTTCGGTCAATAATGCCTACGTCTCCGGACTACTGCAGATATTTTATTAGAAGAAAAAAAATACACTCGTGTTTACAAAACACTCTCAAACTCATCATACCTCACAACTCAAAAATACACACAAAGACTAAATTATTTTTATTAGCTCACTCTCTTTTTCTTCTGTATTTTTGGTTGAGTTGTATTTGGTGTTTTCGTTGTGGTGTTTTGTTCATCTGATCCTCTCTATTTATGGAGAAGAATTGCATCTCTTTTTCAACAAAGGTGTACTGATTTTTCCACAAAACACAACACCCGTGGCTGCTGCAATTTTCCAAGAAATGGGGCTGTCAACTTTGTCAAAACTGGCGGCTCATTTAACAAGATATGCCCATCAGCCCATGGGATTTGTGAACAATCTAAAATACCAATGGCCTCCTTTCTGGGGAGGTAATTCCTCTAAAAGGAAAACAAGAAGAAAGTAGAATAAATTTGACTTCAATTTCTCTGAAAAAAAAAAGTTAGGAGATAAACTATTTCTTGATGATTAGTTTAGAACTAGCTAACTCCCAAAAGCACAAGGAGAAAANAAACAAGAACACGAGAAAAAAATCAATAAAATTAAAGAAAATAGTAAAACCAATAGTAATAAATTTGTAAAGTGAAAAATTGGATCTTTACCTAGGTTGTGTAGATGAAATGGACCAGAAAATTGCATAACCCCATTGAATGCTCCTAACAGCAATAGCGAGCTGCTTCCTTAGATCCTTTGGCACTTCAATTTGGTTTTGGTCTCCTCTGTCCATACCTCAAACTGACTATTACAAACATTTACAGGAAAAAATCAAACAAATAACAAAAAGAATTATAGTAAAAGATTCCAACTTGGGTTTTGACCAACTCAAGTTTTGAAAGAAATAAAATATTATTACATTCTCCTCCAATGGCTGTTAAAACATCTAGAACCAACCTTTTCTTCCAAGAAAAATGGGGTTATATTTGACCTCAGCCATTCATCCTTAAATATTGCTTCTGTTTAAACCCTTTTGAGTTGAAAGTGGAAAAACTCCAAGGACCACAAAGAACGGATTTTGCTGCTCCTCGGTAAAAATAGAACTCAATCAAAATGTCGGGCACAAAATCAAGAACCAAGAACATATAATGGCGTGTCCATGCACGACAATACAAACAAAAAAATGAAAGTGTTGTAAGCAGAAAATGCCAAGAATCTTGAAAATTGGGGGTTCGTTTTTGGTGAGTGGGGAAAAGGAAATGGGCCTCTGGAGATTGATAGGAGAGTGCTGTTTGGCTCCAGGAGAAATAGAGAGGTCGAGTATTATTGCGAGTTTGTGTTAAGTCCAAACACGGTGTTTGATGATTGGTGAGGTTGATGCCATTCCATAAACTGATTCATTTTGATGACCCTGCAAAAAGACAAGAAAAGACGTTGAAAATTCATATAGACACAATCAACGTTTACGTTTTCTTACTCGTGTTTTGGGCCATCTTTAATTAAAAAAATAATAATAATAATTACAAATTTATTTTGCAATCATATCAAACATAATTCTTCTTCAATCATTATTCATTAAATTCATTTAAACTAAAAAACATTTCTCACGTCAAGTTTATAATTATTATAAATAGAACCCTTATATTTTACAATTATTATAGATTATACTACACTATTGTTTTAAATTTGATCAAGAAATATACATTAAATTAATATAAATTGATAATTTCAATATTTTGTGCACATAAAATATAATAAAATAAATATTTGTGAAACATAAAAAATTACAATAATTTGGTGGTTTTTCATTATTTAGCGTTAGCTTGATAATCTTACTATTTAATTTTCAATTTTGTAAATTTTAATTTTTTTTTATTTTCAACGTCAGATCACAGTATTTGAACATCATGTTTAATAAAAAAAATTATATGTAACCATTTCTTGTGCAGAAGTGGAAGTGATAAACATCAAACCGCATCTCAAAAGAACTAATGCATATCCCGTGCTCTTAAGCTTTATTTAATTATATAAAAATATATTATTATTCATATTAATTTAATTTACCATTTAAGAGATAATGACCAGATACATTATATAGTTTTACTAATGTCCAAATAATAAAATTATAATATATTAACCTTTCATTAGAATTTTCACAAGTGATTTATTTATATATTATTGTCAACAAGATTAAAATTTTTATCATATTTTTTATTTTGATTTCTTTCCATAATAAAATCCTGTGAAATATTTTCATTTGCATAGTATGCTAAATTACCTATATCTAAAGCCTTGTGGTATTTCAAATTAGAAAAACCTCTTGATTGTAGAAAGGAATTAGTTTTGACAATAGCTAAATGAAAGTTGTGCAATTATTATGAAAAAAATTAAATTCTAAAAAATATGTGATTATATTTTGCAAATCATATATACACAATATTTTATTTTAAAATTATTTGTATAATTTTAAATTAATTACATTAAGAAATAATATTAATGCACATTACGTATCTTTCATTACATAAATAAAAAATAAGAAGTCTACTTATATAAATTTTATAAATAATAATAATGACATTATATGACAATAGATTTTTTAGAATAAAATAATAATTGAGTTATATGGTCAAGAATAATAAGTAAATATTAAAGAAATAAATATATATAATAAAATTAAATTTATATTAATATAAAAGTGTTAGCAGGATAATATATTAATTAACTACATGCTAGTTAAGGTTTAGCGTTCTCTCTACGAAAACAACATTGATTAAAAGAGGTGGAAATGACTCAACATCTCAGTCGGTGACTCATTTAACATCCCAGTCCCGTGCATCGAAGATGCTAAGTACTAGTTTGTGTAAAAATAGAAGAGAAGGTTAATAACTTTTGGGGTGTGTTTTTTTATAATTTTTCCCAATCCATACTCAATAAATACTCAAAATATAACTCAACTTTAACATAATCCCACTATCATCAGTATTATGAATATCAATTTAATTAAATGATATTAATCAATTATTCTTACGCATCACATCAACTTTAATTCAATATTCATTCATTCATATAATTTTAACTAATCATTACTTCGCATCATCTTATCCTAATTTTATGTCAAATCATTTTTTTTTTAAATATTACTTTAATATAAACTCAGAATCATGCGAACAACTAACCATACCACATTTTTTAAAATTAACTCTGATAAAAAAAAAATCATTTTGAACGAATATATTTGTATCTAAACACGCACTTCATACTTAGACAATTCTTACTCTCCACGACAAGAAACAAAAATCCCCAAATTTCTCTTAATCCCTAGCAGCCCTTTCTTCGTCGGCGCCTCCCGACAGCAGGGGCCTTCTCGTAGCCACGACATTGGCCGTCTCTCGCCCGCGCGCTTCGTCTCTCGGAGTCCCGACTTCCCGTCCCCTTCGTAGTGTTTCGCCTCTTAATCGGTCGACTATGGCAGGTTTGGTGTGGGTTGACGGCGTTTCTTCAGTGAGTTCGGGCTGTGGGCTTCTAATAGTCCCTTTGTGGCTGTCAGGGTTGAGGTCGAAGCCTTCGTCTCTCCTTTTTCCCTTCTCCCCTGGTGTTAGGCTGAGGGGATGGCCGATGGGGTCGGACTGTGGTTGGTTTGTTCCATGAGCCCGGGTCATCGGTGGTGTTGGGGGTGGATTTTGGTGAGGTTCGGTGTCGTGGTTTAGTCCGAGGTGGCTTGTCAGCTGTGGGAAGGATTTTATTATAGTATTTACTGTGTTTAGTTTTTATATTTGTGTTGGTGTTGTTTTTTTTCTTCCATTTGGAAGTAGTTTTATCTTTATTCTCCATTATTGGAGTTAGAATTTCTACTTGTGGGAGTTTAAATTGTTNATGGAAGGCGGGAACCCGAATCCAAAATAGGTTGTGGGGCACACGACTCGCAATTTTATAATAGAAATTAGATAGAAAAATGAAATCAGAAAAAGCAAAACCCAAAAGGGCTTTATACAGAGGAGAACTGTAATAAGAGGAGGAGAAAGAATTAGTTCTGCTCAATTGCTCTCAAGCTTTAAATTTTCTATCACCATTGTTACTGTTACATTTTCTCCTTTATTTCCATATAAAGGCAACCGGCCGACCCCATTGGCCTGGAGCTGTTTCTTTTCTTTTGTTTTTGGTTTTGTTGCATTGTTCAGGAAAGTCCCGGGGAAAATAGTTGGGTAAATTGGGAAGGTCGAAGTGCCAACGAAAATGGGGTTTTGAAATTTGATCCGTGGAAAAAGAGCAGATTCTGGGTTTATTTGATCTTATATATATCTGCATTGTGGATGCACACAGGTTTTTTCCTACGTTTTGCGTACATTTTTCTAGGGTTTTAATTCAGTTGTGGAATAAAGATTTATCTTCTTACGATTGCGTTTTATTTGTTTCCACTTTTTGGTATAAATTTGAATTGCGAAGAACCAAAATGTTTTTATCTTGATTCTTTTCGAAAACCCAATTTGTTTGGCAGTATAAACTTTTTAATTTTTTATGGCTTACGCATTTGTACTGGATTTTCATGTTACTAGCAGCAGCTGAGGGTTTACATATCTTGTTATTTATCATTACAGTTGCTTGCCTCCACCGGTCAGGATGGAATGAGAACTACAAAACAGTAAATATATAATCCAGAAAATTAATTGGGGAGCTGGAACAGTATGCAGTGCGTTTTATATAGCTAAATAAAGTTTGGGTGAGTGATATGATCTGCCATGGTTTATCTTTTGTCATTTGAAATCATTGTGGTGTCTGGTTGTGTTTGATATTACGACCCACCATCTAAATGATGAGTGTTATCCTTCTTCAGACCTTTATTGTTTGTGATCCTCCTAGAGATTATAGGCAGACTTGTTCATTCTTCCCTGCTGTTAAACATGAACTGAAAAAAATGCATAGATATCTAGTGGGCATAAACAAGTCAGTTATATGTATGCCAGATGAAACTATTGTTCTTTTTGTGCATTTAAGATACATTAAGGTTCCACGTTTCCAATTATGTTTCCCATTTATCCATTAGTTGATGTCTTTTATGCCCTCAATCGGTCATCTTGATTCCCATTAGGAAAAAAATTGGTTCCGAAAATTATTTTTTAAGGCCATGGTATGATCTAAAGTGATAGCTGCTTCTGGCATTAATAAAATAAATAACATAAAGACTTACTTCCCTAGCCCTAAATATGGAATCACATGTTACAACAATGACTATTGAGTGTGGTTGATAATTTGTTATGTGTGAGATGTGATCTATTGATTGGCATTTCATTTGATAAAACTAGCTTTATTTGAATAATGAAATTTAAGTTTTCTGTACATTGTTGAACTTTACAGGCTTCAACTGTCAAATTTGTGATGGATCCACAGTATGATTCTCATGTGAGTGAAAACGGGGAGTTGGGTGGTTTAAGTGAAGTTTGTAACGGCAGCATTTCTGGCAGGATAGAAGATTTCAATTGTATTGCTGGAGGTAAAACCGTCTGTTGTGTTCCATTTATATTGACCTTCTGAAATGTTCTCTCTCTCTCTCTCTCTCTGACCAGAAAAGGAAAAATAGAAAAAAGAAAAAAATCTCCAATTATCTGTCATACTTTATGTTCCACTAGTCTACCTGCTATGTTACCTCAAGGAAAATTAAGTAGTTGGTTTGATGGAAGTATAATACTTCAAGTCTGCTAAATTTAGTATAAAGTACTTTTGTCCTCCAGTCTCCCGAGTCTATCCAAATTTACTTGTAGCTTCATTAACAACTTCCTGGTAGCCAAGTTTCAGTTCATGACATGTCTGAGTTTCACTTTCCGAAAATGAATGATTTCACATGAAATGTTATATCTCTATATGCTAGCTTAATGCTCATCAATATCAGAAAAAGTTGCTGTAGGGTGAGAATTTTTCTCTTCAATTATTTTGTTTCTGTTTCTGTATGAAAGCTCATTTTAATCTGGTGTGGATCATGACTAGTTCATATAATGCTCTTATTCGGTGGATGCTAGTAATTTGGTTTCTATATTTTATTTGTGATGACTCTCAAGCTGAATGTGGCATTTATTGATCTGTCTGAATGTGGCATTTATTAATCATGTAGGGAATAACATTTCTGATGTCCTCCAATCAAAGACTGGTCACCACGGAGATGTCCATGCTTCTAAGATTACCGAGCTAATGAATTCGAGCAATTTAGAGGTACCTGTTCCATCACCCCAGAAAAATAAAACATGGACTAAAACGTCACTTCTTGACATATTTCTTACACTTGACGTGTTTGTATGTTTTAAATTGCTCTTTCTTATGCAGAATGCTTCTATGCACTCACTTTTTGGTGTTGTCAATAAAATTCTGAATGAAAGCATTGAGAGAAATGGGGACATAACTCAGGTACATGACTATGCGAGCACACTTTCAATATATCATCGTTTTGAAGTTTAGCGAGTATTTCTTCTCATCTTAGCTCACTGATTCTGAATGGTATTTTGATTGCTGTGTTGTGGTACTTTATTTCCACTTAGCGCGTCGCATCTGTGCTGAAATTAGTCGTGCAAGAAATTGAGCATCGGGTTTCAAAACATGCAGACAATATGAGGAAGGTGACACATTATCTGTTTTTACTTGTTAAATAAACGTATATTTCCTCCAATGTAGGCTGTAGAATTTCTAAATTCCATCAGGGTATTATGCAGCAAAGCAATCTGTACAAGTCTCGTGAAGACAGGTACCATACAATGATAAGAGCATTAGAATCTCTTGCAGCCGGAACCAGTGAAGAAAATGAGGTATGGTGGTGGTAATGTATTTTCGATGTGGAATTTTATGTATTCCATTTTTATTGCCTTGTTAAGTTTTAGTTTTGTTGTTCTTTGCAGATTGTCATGAACCAGCTTCAAAAGATGAAGGTAAATTGCTTAATGAAGAGAATAAATCTTTAATGGACAATGAGTTGTGTTGTTTTGATATTATAAAGTAACAACAATGGGAGACAAATTTCGGAGGAAACTTATATTGCAATTTGGTCCACTTTTTGTTGCCCCTGACAAACAAGTTGCTCTGTGCTTGCACTTAACTTCCTTTCTTCAGAAACGAGATATCAGCAGTCCTTGACATTTATCTAATTGCTTGATTTTAGGCCAAGCTGCATAATTGCGAATAATTTACTTTAGAATATTGCTTCCTCCTGTTATGTAAAATTGCTTTTCAAACTCAGTTAAGATTCATTTTGATGTAGTTTGTTTCATTTGGCATAATGACTTGTTTGGACTAATAATCACATAGGAATGTTCTAAACGTTGATAGGTGGTGGGTTGGGGCCTAGCGCCTAGGGCACCTATGCAGGGTCGTGACAATATTAATAAATTTATCTATATTTATCATCATGCATAATTTATAAGATATATTATATAGAGTATATTATTTAATATGGTCAAACACAAAGATTATCCAAAAACTAATGCATTCATTATTATTGCATTAATTTTTAATATGATTGTTAATATTTTTTATTATATAATTAATGTAAATTTCATGCATAAAATTAAAATTATTTTTGTTTTTTAATAGTTATGAAATAGAAAATGTACGCGCCACTAGGCGCTCGCCTAGGCTTGTGTAACCTAACTTCGCAATGGCACCGCCTAGTCATCCGAGTGCCTAGAATGACCGTCTAGGCAAAACTTGTGGCGCATAGGACGATTTTTAGGATAAAGCATGGGAGTATTGCCATTTTATTTATTTAATATCTCAATCAGGAAGCTTTTGTTTACCCTCGTGGTAGGCGATGATATCGATTTCTGATATAGTAGTTATATTTTAGGCTATTTGTTAACATGAACACTGCTGATTTTTATGTTGTCACTGCTAATCATTATAACAAAAAGATATGCTGATATATGTCTTCCTTGATGATTGTTTTATTAGTATGATTTTTTGGCTTTACCCATGATTTATGTCTGGCCAGGCTGAGAAGACTAAAATTGAGGAGGAGAAGAAGCTTGAGCAGCAGAATCTAATTAAATTGAAGAAAGAAAAGGACTGCTGTGTGAGTCAAATTCTGTCGCTTAATGAAGAGCTCGCGCTAGCCAAAAAGTCGTATGAGGAGGATCTTTTTCAATTGGAAGCTAAGGCTGAGGATGCAAAAGAAAAGCTACAAAATAAGATTTTGGAACTCGAATGCCTTCTAGCTGATTCAAGTAAGAAGGTTAAAGAGCTCGAGGAATTTTCAAACTCAAAATTTTTGCGATGGAAAAGAAAAGAACAGGGTTACAGGCACTTCATTGATTCTCAATCTGGATCCATACAGGTGCGCACTTAAAACTGTACTAGCTTAGTTCTAGCTCTGCCCACAATTACTGATGCATTCTTTTATGAATTTTGACCAGGAACTAAGATCAGCATCTGAGTCCATAAAGGAAGAGGTTTCAAAGATCAAGGATTCCTATGCTGAAGAGTTTTATCGTTTTGGTTGGGATATTGGAACTGTTTAGTCTTTCAACTTCTGAGACCAGTTGACTTCCATGTCACTCAGCTTTGTTTTGTTGGCATTGGTCAGGTTTAAATCTCAAAGGCTTGATCGATGCTGCACAAAGTTATCATAGCGTTCTTGAAGAAAATCGGAAATTATATAATGAGGTCCAAGATTTGAAAGGTCAGTAGCTTGCATATGGTTAATAACTTAATATTTTCAGCAAATATATTTGCTCATCTGTATTGTTTTACTTTCCTAGGAAACATAAGAGTTTATTGTCGCATTAGGCCATTTCTCCCGGGACAAAATAGAAAACAAACAACCATACAGTGTATTGGTGACAATGGAGAATTGGTTGTCATAAACCCCTCAAAACCTGGAAAAGATAGTCACCGTCTATTCAAATTCAACAAGGTCTTTAGTCCTGCAGCTACCCAAGGTTTCTATTCTGACTGGAATTTTGATAACAAATTTCCTGTTTGATGTATTGTCACTTACATGCTCTCTCTCTCTCTCTCTCTCCTTATAAATACATATGTCTACCTTTTTGTCTCTTTCTTTCTACCGTTATGTTACTTGCTGAAATCCTTCGTTTGCAGAGGATGTTTTCCGAGACACTCAGCCATTGATCAGGTCCATCCTTGATGGGTATAATGTCTGCATATTTGCTTATGGACAAACTGGTTCAGGGAAAACTTACACAATGGTAAGTAAATAGTTCCAAATTTAGTTGAGAGTTGTCTTCACCTTCTTACGATGCTAATACTATTCAAGAATATTTCCAGACTGGACCGAATGTGTCGTCTGTAGTGGACTGGGGAGTCAATTATAGAGCTCTGTATGATCTCTTCAACATCTCCCAGACAAGACGTAGCTCGATTGAATACGAAATTTGTGTCCAAATGGTTGAAATATATAACGAACAAGTGCGAGACTTACTCTGTAATGACAGTTCTCAGAAGAGATATCCTTTTAAAATTCTCTTTCTGTCCTTGTGTTTGTCGAACATGCTTTTTCCTATCCAGTCCTCACCTTGAACATGCTAACATTACTGGCTATACATGTGTAAGTGGGTGCATGTGTGTTTATTTTATTGGAAAGGTAGAACTTCTCATTGTATTCTTTGACTTGCGCACACTTGGGATTTGGAGTACCTCCCAACCAAATGGTTTGGCTGTGCCTGATGCTAGCTTGCATCCTGTAAAATCAACTATCGATGTGTTAGAGCTGATGAATGTTGGCTTAACGAATCGAGCTGTCGGTGCCACTGCTCTGAATGAAAGAAGTAGTCGGTCCCACAGGTTTTCATTGTTATTTTCTTTCAGTTTAATGATCTCAACAATGTTTCGCTTAGGGGCCTAACCTTGATTTTACCTCCTATGAGACAGTATCCTTACTGTTCACGTCCGCGGATTGGATTTAGAAACAAGTGCTGTTTTACGTGGCTGTCTTCATTTAGTTGATCTGGCTGGTAGTGAAAGAGTCGACCGTTCTGAAGCAACAGGCGATAGATTGCGTGAAGCACAACATATAAACAAATCTCTATCGGCTTTGGGGGATGTTATTTTTGCTCTGGCTCAGAAAAGTACTCATGTGCCGTACAGGAATAGTAAATTAACTCAAGTACTTCAGAGCTCTTTAGGTGATTAGTCCGTCTTGAAGCATTAAATATACTTTTTTTTTCAACTGAAAGTGAAAACATATTTTACATCTTTTTTTTTTCTTTTTTTCTTGCCTTTAGTTTTGATTGATCTGACAATCTTGAGACCTCATGCCTCTCTCCTGGCTTATGTTGCAGGTGGCCAAGCAAAAACTCTAATGTTTGTACAGCTCAATCCTGATGTAGAGTCCTTCTCAGAGACTATAAGTACCTTAAAGTTTGCTGAGAGAGTTTCTGGTGTTGAATTGGGTGCAGCTCGAAGTAACAAAGAGAGTAGGGGTGTCAGAGAACTTATGGAACAGGTTATGATTATGTATTGATTTCTCTATACCTTCCTTTTTCCCCTTTTAGATGAAGTATGCTATTTGAGTTTTAAAGTATCATCTTACTTGGGACACCGATCTCTCTTCAATTGCTCAGTTCAAATTTGTACTGTCTTGTGCTAATTGTGACTTTTGATGTCGTTGGGTGAACTCTTCTTGTTTTGGCTGCGTCCTTACGTTGGAATTCTAGAAATATGTTTAGTGGAAGCCTTTATCCTATAATCAATACATATATAAGTTCTTGTGTAATATGGCTTGTTCTCAAGCTACCCACGAATAAAATACGGAAATCAGTAAGGGCACCATTCAGTGCTTCTCAAAACTCTAATATTTATCTCTCTATAAAGACAAGATTTGCAGTTTTCCTTGTCAACTACACTCACATTATTTAGTAAAAAAGAAAAAGAAAAGTGAGAGCCACGAGAGCTGCTGGTGTTAAATCCTAAAAGGTTATGTCTGAAAAGCTAGGACATTCAATTAGAACACATCAACACTCGAGAAAACAAAGCCAAATCATCAAACCTTGTGCTAGTCTTGCAGGTAGCTTCCCTAAAAGACGCCGTTGCCAAGAAGGATGAAGAGATCGAGCAGTTACAGTCACACAAAACAAACGGAAGCACTGAACGACTCGTTGATCTGAAATCAGCAGGGAAAGTCGCTTCTGACAGAGCAGCCTCTGATCCAGACAACAGCTCCGAGTACAGTGACAAGCACTCTGAAGTTGGGTCCCATCAGTCAATGGATGAGTTAAAGCACCACAAAGACTTCTTCCGGCAGTCGAGGCTTGCTGCTGTGGGTGGTGAGAAGTTTCCGGAAGACAATGGTTTGAAGTTGGAAGTTGCTGGTCAAAATGGTTGGAATGAGGATGTTGAGCTTTTGGGGTTGGGAGATGGTGATTTGGATGACAGGCTGAGTGATATTTCAGATGGAGTTCTTTCTATGAGGACCGAAACAGACTGCTCGATTAATAGTATTGTGGAGCACTCACTTTTCCCAGAGACGACCAAGCCACCTCCAGAGATAATCGAAAAGTGAGGCTTTTTTTAAAAATATATAAAAAAATATTACACAATGTTCTGCTTACTGATCATTTTTTAGTCTTAGTTTTCAAATCTTGTCCAGTAGAGTGATTTTAAGATTCATGCATGAAAAACTTAAATTCTTCAGTTAGTTATTATGGTTTATTGAGCTTTTGTTGCCTTTTTTCTTGGTTTAATGCAGGCCTAATGTGCCAGCTAAAATTCCAAGACCACCAAAGCTGGGTCCAGCGCTAACTTCCCGGCCATCTCTTAGCAAAAGCACCTCTAAAATTCCAAGTACAGGACACTTTCTTGTTTCTCAAAATTTCATATCTGAAGCGAATTTATTTTTTATTTTTTGCTATTTGCTTTTGCTCTATCCTTTTTTTTTTTCCTGGAGTTGTAGAATCTAAACTAGATGCTTGCTTGCTGTTTATTTGCATTCTCAGGCTCGAAAAAGGCCACACCCAGCAGCAGTTCATCTGCACTTAAACCTCCCAAAAGGTGGCAGTAATTTTACACTGTCACGGAGTTTGTCTGTAAATTAGAGCAGCAGTGGGCATCCATGCGCTGGCTCGCTCTTTTAGGTATTAGATTAGAGGGTTTTGCTAGAAATCCTTATTTTGTGTTGTAAAAATTTAGATTAGACTCTGCTGGTAATTCCTTAAATGTCATCCCCAGCTTATGGATGAAATATTGAAGATATGCAGACGGGTGTTGCAAAAATGTACTGAGCCTGCAATATTTTAGCTTCAATGCTAATGTGCTCTAATGTTCCAAAGTGCAGTTTGCTTTTGTTCTAAGCGCATTATAGTACTTGTATGCTTTTAGCCGGAATCTTATTAGAAATGGGAGCGTATGGATTAGTTCGAATCAATATGGAATTATTATTCCCCCACGCTCATTCTTTATTTTCTCCTTATGTAGGGTGAAGAAATTGGTTAAATATTTTCCATTCATCTTCTGTCTCTCTGAAAACACGTCTACACTTCATAAGTGACAAACACCAACTTCTATTTGATTGTATGCTAAGACTCCTTTGGGAAACATGTCTACACTTCAAAAGTGACAAACCCAAACTTCTATTTGTTTGTATGCTAAGACTCCTTTGGGAGGTGACCAGAGATGTGAAACGAATGAGTTGCTCACGAACTCAAACTTGGTTCGGCATAGCTCATTTACACCTCTTATGGTGATTATATTGCATAAAGGATGGTCGGGACAATTCTAGTGTGCCACACACAGATATACACATATATATCTATTCTGGTCGGGGTAATATTAATTAAATTGAGAGTTATCTTGTAGATAGTTGATAAAAAAAAAAAAAAATACTTCGTTTGGCCATTTGGGTGCAAATCATCAGTTCCAAAAAGTGAAAAATCACGTGGTATAAAAATTCTTTTACTGCTTCTCTCTTCCCCACGTTGTGGACTTGCTGGTACAAAATAAAATAAGCAGTGATTGAAATGATTGGTGATATCATCACACGAGATAGGCAAGTGCAAAAGTTGTGGAGACGTCCAATGGTAAGTGCTTTTAAGTTACGCGCCTATCTTGGTTTGTCTTTTAAATATTAACTTCTAATAATAAGCATCAAGTCGTTGTAGTATAGTGGTGAGTATCCCTGCCTGTCACGCAGGAGACCCGGGTTCGATCCCCGGCAACGGCGATTTTCTTTTTTTTTTTAATTAATTTTTATTTTGACTTCTGATTTTGTTCAAATTTTCGTCGTCATCAAATTACCCTGTAACTTTTTTGAAGTCCAGTATCTGAGGCCGCATTGACTACAGTAGATTATGTTCGAATTTTTGGAAATTCTTCAACTTCTTCAGACCCTCTCTTACTAAAATATTTAATTTTGCCAGAGTCCCAAAATAGAACATGCTCTTTTTTCAAATTTTGATTTATGGAAAAGTCGAAAATTCATGGGGCTGCCTTTATTCATTGTATATTACATTGCAAACTCCAGTAGAAAACATTCTTAACCACCTTAAGTTACATTAAAAAAAGAAAAAAAGCCTCATGTAAAAACTACTTCTGGACTACTGGCCCCTATTTCCTTCCCCTCAATCCCTATCAGTCTAACAATATGAACAGTATAGTGTTCAATTTGATTTTTGCCTAAGAAAGAATAGCTAAAAAAATTAAAACCAGGAGACTCTTTGTCCAGTTACCCTTTGCCCAGCTCAGTTTTTCCACAAAAAGCCTATATCTAATCTATACTCGAGCAATCGGTGAGAAGGGTTGATTTAGCACAAAAGATGGCAAGACTTCGTCTTTTTTGCTGTCGGCCTTAAATCTCTCCTCTTCGGATATCGAGTCCACCACGTTCTTGATTTCCTCTTCGGTATATACCTTAAGAGAGTCACTTTGCAGCATTCGTTTGTTCGCCTCGTGCTCCACTGCAGCAGTGGATGCATTTGCAGCATGCAAAATAGCTACGCATATGGAGAACGCTTGCAGAGAAGACAACTGTGCATGAAAATCAATGGTGTACTTTCCATCCTCGATCGCCCTCATTGTAAATGCAGGTATTTTGTTGTTTTTTCTTCCCTGCAAGGTGCAAAAATCGTCAGATTGTGATGATGTGTATATCATACTTTGCAGATACACAATAGCGTTCTTTTCCTGAGGGAGTTCTCTGTACTAAGAATCACATGTAATGCTCGGTCAAAATCGCAATCAAAGAAATAAATCGTTTGCCTAGTTTCAAGTTTTCAACCATCAATATTAGTCATCAGTTACATTCTGCTATTACGTTAACTTCAAGAATACCACCGAATAAACTCCCGTGATTCATCAATATAATCTCTTCACAAAGCCAGTCCAACACTCAAAATGTGTTCTTCATAACTATATAAAACCAATTAAAGGAGTTCAAACATCATTTCAATATCACTTCTATCATGATGCAACGTTTTTCCCAATAAAATATTAAAATGTCAATTTACCTGAACAAATAGCTCAACCGGATGCCAGCTGTCCACCAACGGTTGCCCGTCACAAATCTGAAAATCCGGATTAACAAAAACGTCGAGAGGGCACGCCATGTCCCAGCCATCACAGTCACACCCTCCACCCAACCGCCACCTGTCCAATAACGGTGATGGCCCACAGTTCTCACCACCACACGGCAAACCGTGGCTCCCAGATGGCACCACCACATGCATCTCCCCACGACGTGAATTGACAGAAATACCCTCCTCTCTCTTCTCCTCCATCTGGCAAAGTTCCAGCAAGCTAGGGAGCGGACAGTCCATTTTCCCTTCCCCGGTTTTAAACTTCAGACTCTCTCTCTTCACGAACGGGGCCCGCATGACGATAGCCGCAATTTCCAGCTCTGGAGAGTGGTTAAAAATCCGATCTTTAATCATTTTCTTGGCTGCTCCTTCGTTCTTCTGCCTGTGGTCGGCTGGTAGGGGCAGTTTCGTAATATCAGTTCTCGATTGTGGTAAATCGTACAAAACACACTCTTGCACCATGGCATCGTTAAATGCTCCGGGACCGTTTAACTCTGTACGTAGATTGCATGATACTACCATCTGCCCAACCGTAGTGGATTTACGGCTACTTGCATTGCTCTTTCTTTTAGGATGAAGTGAGTGAAAAGTGTAGACCCACCTGAGGGCATTATTGACTTTCCATGTCTTTGCGACGTAAGAAACGTCATCTGGCGACGAACTCACCGAGAATTCGAAAAACGGGAGGCCGTTTTTGTGTTTGGATTTTAGAAACCCGCGAATGTGAGCTGGTGAAGATGGTTCGTTTTTGTCTTCCGATTTAACATAACGATCAAAGTTTTTCTGACCGTTTATTTCTGAGCAATCATTCTCCGAACGAGCAGGTGAGTGGGGCAAAGCTAATTTAGACGATAACGATTTTCGCAAATTAACGGCTGGCTTTTTTTCCCTTGGGCTGTTACCGTATTTGACTGGAGCAAATGAGGATACTACAGATTTGATCACGATATCCTTAGCAGGCTTACTGATATTATTGTCCAAAGACCCTTTTTTGCTCTTGCTCGAGAAAGAATAATTTATCGAGTATGAACTCGTACTTTTTTCTGATGTCGACACCACTGAGGACCTTTCTCGATCCCCTAGTGACCCATCTTCATCCAAACTACATAAAGAATCAATGATTCCTAAAGGGAAAGCTAAAGGTGCAGCATTCTCTCGCGAAAGCTCGATTTTTTGCCTCCCAACCACAAAATCTGTATTGCTAAGAAGAAGATTCACGTCTTTCGAGCTTTGGTAAACCGAACCACGCTTGTGCAGCTCGGGATTGGGTCTCGTTGGTCGAGCGTCCCTGCAGGATGCACTGCGGTAGCGGTTAAAGCTGATCTCCGTGAAATTTTTGTTGAGGCCGAGCAAATCTTTTCCACATTTGACTTTTTCATTTGACTTTCTGTAAACGGATTTCGAACGGTGATGGGGAGCAGGGAGGACGGTTTTGGGGCTTCCATCCATGATACAATATTTGTCGAATTCGAGTTCCATGTCTTTTTTCACTCACTCTAGTGGAAATGTCAAAATTGAAAAGAAAAGAAAAATGATTTCCAGTGAGACTTCAATGATTTTGCATTACTGGATTTAAACTGCATATACAATTCATAGAGCATTTGAGACAGCAAACAGTAAGAAAATTTTGTAATTTTTTCTTCACATCTCAATAGTATGCTCTTCTAAAAAAAGGTATCAACTTGAAATAACTAATAGGATACAGAACCACTCCACAAGTGCCCTTGCCTATTGCCAAGAATTACAATGCCAGTAATAAGTGCTGCCTTAAAAATTTAGCCATATATGAAAAAACAGTAATTACCACCCAAAAAGTACGACTGGTATAATGGAACAAACGAGTTTCTATGAAAAGCATAAAATCAGATCTCAGGCAACAACGCTGAAAAACACAACACGAAGGAAAGGAAACCAAAGAGACAAAGATCAGATTCAGAGCATGCAAGTGAAATTAAAAAGACTAAAAAGCCAATAAAGACTAGATTTTTATAGAGCAAGAACAATTTCCATAGAAAAATAGCCATACCCCACTTTAGATCTCAGAGAATTGAAGCCAAAGAAAAACACCCCCAACGAATTGTGAGTAAAAAGCAATCATTTGCTCCTTCTCTTGTGCCCAACGGCTTGTTTGGGAAAATAGCGGTCTCACTTTTAGATAGGCATAAGAAAAGGGAAAACACACACACACACACACTAGAAAGAATGATTTTGGTAGGATAGTAGGATTATAGATAGCACGCAGATCCTTATTCTTGACAAAAGAATCATGAAAAGTCGTTAAGAATGAAATAACTCAGGAAAAATACAAAGTAAACCAGCCTACAAAGAGTAGAGTTACAATATGGGTACAAAAAGTGAACTTGCATGCCAAATTAATTATTTTTTATTTGTTATTCCTCTCCTTATTTTCTTACTCTCAATTCACATGAGCACTGGACAATGGAGAAACATAGAACTGCCCAGCATCTGTTAAAGATAAAAAAAAAAAAGAATAAAGGAAAAAAAAAACTAGTTTTTTTGACTCATCATATGTTGCTGCTGTTTTCTATGCTCACCATTGAGTGTGTGTATGTGCGTGTGTTTTTGGCAGTGTGACCATTTTTTTCGATGCTTTTGGAACACTAATCTAGCCTTTAGCTTTAGGTACCTTGCAAGAAGGCTCTCCAGGTAATGACAATAATACCCCTATCGGACCGTTTTCTAGTTATCAGATGGTAATTCATCAAGGGGTATATTGAGGTTATCAGTTTCACGAATTATTAAAAAGGAGAATCACTGCGGAGATTATTATTTTATTCTGTTGGGAAATGCAGATTTTAACTTCAGTTAGACTTTGTCTTGGCATTTGCAAAATGTCACTCTCTCTCCTCAGTAAATTAGGAAGATGAGATCACAATAAAATAATAAAATGGAATCTTAATTCCCATTTATGTCATCTACACAATTTATTCATATCAGACTATTGTGAATGTGTGATCAACTGTAATAAAACAATGAGGGCATTGAAGACCACATGTACAAAATACTTAACTCTGTNAGTCATAGCAAGAATTTTTGTTGATAAATGGAATCAAAGTCAATTCAAATATTCAATCACCTTTTTATTTTGTCAAGATATGTTGAAGTGATAAAACATTGAAATCACAAGTAATGCACATATTATAGCTTTGTTTGAATTTTTTTGCCCCGTGTAAATAGTGTAATGTAAGATCAAGAGATGATTGCTGCGCAATATTTGAAAGGAGCCGTTGGGAAATATTATTGGCAGAAAATGAAATGTATTTATTTAACCTTTTAACTTTTAGTTAGTTCCATATTGATTACCAGAACATGTCCATTTGCTTCTTCCAAATTTGTAATTCCCTTAAGACCGACATACTTTTTTTTTTTAACAAAAATGTATATTTCTACTGAAACAAAATCATATTTTAAATTAATATAAATAGAAGTATAATATTTGATAATGTAAATATATATTTTTATTTAAATAAATTTGTGATCTGCCAAGGAGAAATCTAGTAGTATGTGGGCCACATGTAATTTTTTTACCAATTCAATTTAGTTTCAACTGGAAATTATCTTTTAATGTTCACATAAAAAAAGCAATAGTCTTTAATATCATTAGGATATGATCAGTGTTCTAAAAGTCGCTAGGCGCCCGCTAGGCGCTCGACCAGTGCCTAGCGCCTAGAGCGCCTAATCGGAGCCTAGGCGGCGCCTAGTCGGGGCCCAGAAATCAATATTAAATACCTTATTTTTTATTTATTTTAACTACCTACAAAATAAAATTATCTCAACATATGATAAATTCACACACCAAAGTCCAAATAATAATATTAATATATATTAAAGAATACATGAGAACAAAATAATGTAATTAGTATTTATAAAAAAAAATAAAAAAAAAAAAATTTGAAAAATTGCCGCCGAGCCCGCCTAGGAGCGCCTAGGTCCGCCTACGCCCGCCTAGACGCCGCCTAACCGCCTGGCCGCTGAGCCGGCCAAGGCCGCCTAGGAGCGCCTAGGGCCGCCTAGCCTCCTGGCCGATTTTTTCTGTCGATTTGTACAAATCGGAGGTGCCCGGGCACCGCCTAGCGTTTAGGCGGCCGCCTAGGCCGATTTTTAGAACAGTGGATATGATGCCATTTGCCCAAGTGTATGCTGTATGCATGCAAAAAAAATTACAAAGAACAGTAATAAAGGAGTGTGCTTTAATGATATGAAAGGGTATTATTATTGAAGGGCATGTGAGTGGTGTATAAGACGGTGGGTCGAATGCAAGTCGCAATATCCAATTCCTGTCATTTTCTAATTAATAATTATTTTTCATGATAAAGAATTTTCTTCACATCCAGATCTAAATTGAAAGCTAGAATTTC